TAACAAAAATACTTACCTGAAAATTTAGAGAGTAAATTACTTCCTCTAATATTTCCAGATTTTACGTCATTTGATTTTACAGGGGTACTTGAAATAGATTCAGCATCTGATTCTAAAAATAAATTAAAAGATGTAATGTAATTTTTAAAACAGTAATAAAATTCTTAAATTAAGGCAAGCCAGAGTAGTTTCAGAAAGAAAAAAAAAAGCTAATCTTCCGAAAAGAAAGACTTTATAAAAATTACAAATTAAACTATAAGAATAATAAGTTTCTAAAATTTTTAAACAAAATTTTAAATAAAATTTAGCTTCTTTGATAAAAAGTTTGAGTTAATTAACTTCAAAATATACTATTCTTTTGTCAGTTGCTAAAAAATGCTATAACTAATAAAAAAAAATCTACATACTATATATAGGAATAGTTTCTTACTAAAAGTAGACATGGAATTACTGTGAGAAGAAATTATCTAAAAATATTTTTCTCAGAGTTTTTTTTTTTTTTTTTTTTGAACAAAGGAGCAAAAAATAAAAGACTGTCAATCTTATGTATACATAAAAGAAAATATAGGTTGAAAAAAAAATGCATAATTATTATGAATTTTTTTTCAATCCAGTGTTGCTTAAGTTTATCCAAAGTTTCAAAAAATGTCTCCTTAATGAGATTTTTCATAAATAACAAAATTTAAATTTTTGATCAACAGAACTCCGAGAAAATTTTGTCTTAAGATAAATTATTGATTCGCGAAAATCCATGAATCAACTGTCTTGAGATCAGTGGAATTCCGCAAATTAGCGGAAGAACCACATGCCTGTAAAACCCAAAGATTTAATATTCCTTTGAAAATTAAAATTTGGTTTGATATTTTTAATTAAAGTATTTCCCTGGATTTTAAAGTAATCAAACATTTCTTATAACTTTTCTATGCATGGAATTATTGATAGGATTATAGATAAGATATGTCAACATTTTAAAAGAATTGAAAAAAAAAGAATAATTTAATTTTTTGAAACAACTTATCTCCGTCATACAAGATTTGACCTCATCTTCTAAAAATATTAAAGTATATGACCCCTGATTCACACTCATAAAGTAAGTTTGTTTTTTCACTTATAAATAATATTAGCAAGAGTTATAAAAATTTAGAAACAAAATATGAGGTAGAATACATATGATACTTCAATAACATTTGTACAATTTGTGGATGATTTCACTGGACAACATTTTAAATTTCTATAAATTTAAAAAAAAAAGTTTAAAATGAAATTCTCAGGGATCTGTCAAGGTTTTTTTGAGAGGTACCTATTTTGTGAAAATTTAGACATTATTTGCAAAACTTACAAATTATATTAAAAAGTCAACACAAAAATAGGGTAAGGTAAGAAAATATTTTCAAAAATTGTCACAACAAATAAAAATCATTTATGACTGGTAGATTTCTATATATTTTTCCTCACATATTTAAAAATAATTTTGCTATTGTAAAATTTGGGCCTTAAAATTGTATCCAAATTTAAAAATCCATAAAAGTCATTGTCCATAGTTAAATTTCAACTGGAATTTAATAAAAACATTCTTTTAACAGTACTAGCACTAAAAGTTATTTTGATAATGAGAACATTTTTGACTTTGTCATATGGAAAAAGTTTCACAGAGGAAAAAAATGTTTCATGAAAAAAATAAAGGTCTGTTACAATAAATTTACAATAGTGTTTAAGATAATGTTCGTATGTTTAGAATAGTGTTTGAATTTCAACTTCCTGTACAGTTTATTGAGGGAGAGCCTCGTTATTTCATTTTAAAAAATTCAGCAAAAAAAAAAAAAGCTTGCTTTGATATGGTGTAAGCGACCTGTTAGGCTTACCACATTGCACTATTTGACCAAACACATGCTAGCTTTTCGTAAAAGACAGCTAGCGGTAAAGCTCCTCTTTTTCATAGATAGCGACAAAAACGGGGTTTGCATGAGAACTTGCTATTGTGAAACTGCCGTTTTCCCTAAAGTTGAATTTGTGAAGGTACAACTAAATGGTAGTAAATTTATTTTTGACAGACTCCGGAATCTGATGAAGTGGAATTCTATGAATCCAGGGAAAACTGGAAATTGTAATTCTACGAATCAAAGGAAATATGGCACATCTGTTAAGTAAGTAAAAAATATTGAAAACAAACCTTCATTTTCATCAAAGCTGACAACGAAAGGTTCCAAAGAACTTCGAACAACCTCTTCTTTTTCTACTTTTATGGAAGGATCTTCAGTTTCAATGTTCTCAATTTTGGCAATGGGTGTAGATGAATTGAGAACGGGAGAGGATACTGGTAATATTACTAAAAAAGAATGATTAAAAAGAAATCAGAATCGACTGAAACAGATGGAAAAATGCATCTGATTTTGTTTTGATTTTCAACTAGAATGTAGTTGCATACATTCATTAATTACTTGTAAGTATGATTAAAACAAATCATAATTTTGATAACAATTGCAGTTGTTATTATAATAATCAATTACCTGTAATCATGATAAAAATCAAAAGATATGATTACAAGTAATCAAAGTATCGTATATTTAGATTACTTTTAATCATATATTTTAATTACTTGTACTCATGATTACATGTAATGAAAAATTCGGATTACTTATAATCACAATTATAAAAACTTATAATATAGTAGTAATTATCTATAGTTAATTATAGCTGTAATCAGTTTCTTCTTATTCAAAAATTTCATGCATAATACAGCTCAATTATCCAGCATTGAATTATCAAAATTATCCTGCATTGGACTTTTTTAGGAAAATAACTTTTTCTAAATATTTTTGGAAAGTTTATATACCATTAAAAAATTTTGATGAAAATAAGTTGAAATAATAAAATTTTGATAAATTCATTTTGTTTAACACAATTCTTAAATAAACAAGCATATGTGTTAAAAATAAAAGAAATCAAAATGTATTGAAATAGTAAATTTATTGAAGGGTCTCACTCGAAACTTAAAGAATTCAAACTAATAAATACACGAATTGACATATAATGTTTTTTTATCAAGGAAAAATTTTGCAAAGCAACACATTTTTTAATGATGAAAAATTAGTAAGGATTTTTTTAGATCAAAGGTTGAAAGAATTTTCCCCAAAACCTCATTTGCGTGATTGGACAAGTTCTGTTCCCCCATATATAAATAATAAAAAATAATGAGAATCAAACATTTTTTTTTGCAAGTTAAGATCAGGCAATTATTGGCGACCACTTTAGTTTTATTTAATATAAAAATTCTGCCTAAATTGAGGCATAAAAGAATTAAAATTAATATTTGGATCGATAATAATTAACAACTCATAGTTATTGCTTGCAATATAAACTGAATAGTTAAAATATAGCAAATAATACTGATCTTAAAGTATTAAGAGTGCCATGTTTTTAGAAAAGCCAATTAATAGTTTCAATAATTTTGGCTATATTTTTTAAACATGATATATAATGTAAATCATAATTATAATTGTATTTATTGAAAGTATTGTGCATGATTTATTGACGGTTTTTGTGAGACTTCGACAATTTGGATTTGTCACGTCAAAAACCAAACCCTAAATAAGATACACACACATATAAATACACCTACAAATTCAACTTTTGAGTTTGAATAATTTCCATCCACTTATAAATATTATATTTATGTTTCAATATTAATCATGTGAAAAAAAATCTTACCTTAAAAAAATAAATAAAAATCCTCATTAATTGACAATTTTTAAGAAAGGGATGAATGTCAAAATTAAGGACTATTTTATAAATTTTTTTAAAGGGAAAAAATCCTAAAATATTAATTTTTCCAGGTTTCCACCGAGGTGTTTGAATGTTGTATTAAGTAAAAGATTGCAAAGAAAGTATTATATAAAATTTATTAGGCATATAAAAAAGAAAACTAGAAAATCAAATATTTCAATTTATCTCCAAAATTATTCAGATTCAATTCCATTATTCAGAAAAAAATTTGTCAATTAGTATCGGATTAATGTGATAGCCATAAGTTTTTGAATAATTAACATTTAGTTTTTGAATTTTTTATTCTTTTCCTTTTTCCCATTTTTTTTCTACAAATTTATAAGAAATTACATTTCAACTTAAAAGCAAAACAGATTATCATTAACTGAACTTCAAAAACAGAATTGTTAGAATCAAGGATTAGCAAAGCAGTCAACATGGATAGGAAAAAATCCAGTAGATTTTACAAAATATAAATTTTATGATAATTGTTGCATAATGTACAAAATCTTTTACTCATAGGGAATTTTACGGATTTTTATAGTCATCAAAATAGAAAAAACTGCAATATTTTCCAGCTATCATTGACATTAAACATACTTGAAATGTTATGTACTATCATAATTTTGAATATTAATAGGCATTTAATTCATTGCAGACAGTTAAAAGATTTTTTTTAATTAATTTAAAAAGAAAGTTCTGAATTAAAATAAACTGAACGTTTTAGAACAAAAAAAAGTTTTGAATTGATTTCTATAAATGAAGTTTGCTTCATTATGTATTAGTAACACTTATTTAAATGTTCAAGCAACCAAGCAATAATCTGTAAAAAAAATTCTATTTCAATAGGAATTTTCCTAGGAAACACATTCAGTTTTAGGGAATTTTCTAAAATGTATAAAAACCAGGAGAATTTTAATTAAAGCAGTAGACCAGGAGAAACTGGCAAAATCCAGTTGAGTTGGCAGCTATGGATTATGCTTGCACCAAGATTACAAGTAAACAAAAGATAAGAATGATTCATACACAAATGAATTTCTTAATATAGCATTTCTCCTCCCAACTTCTTGCAATGAGGTCATAAATTTTGCAGTCATTTTTGTCTAGTGGGTCATAGTTTCTGTTAAGCAACAACATAATACAGCGACTGATACTTAAGCAACAACATAAGACTGTCAACACAGAAGTTGTGTTTATTTTAATTAGAATAAATGAAAGAATCTTACACTCCTGATTTTCATTGCACGCTTTTGGCTTATAATGGAAGAAAACACAGTGCGGCTTTCTACACCCGCCAGGTTTATTTTCCCAATAACATGGAATGCTTTTCCTGTCAATCTGCAAAACAGAAAACATTTCTAACAAAAAGTTTAGTTTTCTCCTTCTTTCAATGGAAGCTAAAAATTCACTAAAATCATCTTTATTTTATAGCAAGGGAAATATTGCAAGAATTTTAAAATCATATAAAATATTAATGTTATAGAGTCCATTAAAGTATATACTTCCTACTTTTTACAAAAAAATAAATAAAATAATAATATAATAACAATATATAAATAAAATAATTACAAGCTTCAAACATGGATAGGAAAAAAATCCAGTAGATTTTACAAAATGATATAAATTTCATGAAAAATTTTGTATATAATGTACTAAATATTTTACACACAGGGAATTTTATAATCATCAAAATAGAAAAACTGCAGATTTTCCAGTTTTGATTGACATAAAATATACTTGAAATTTTATGTATTATGTTTACTCATAATTTTGAATAGTAATAGGCATTTAAATCAAAGATAGTTTAAAGATTTTTTTACTTATTTTAAAAAGGGAGTTCTGAATAAAAATAGACTGAACTTTTCCGAAAAAAAAAAAAGTTTTTAAATGATTTCTGTAAATGAGGCTCGTTTCATTATGTATTAGTAGTACTTATTTAAATATTCAAGTAAGTAATAATTTGTGCAAAAATTCTCCTTCAATACGGAGTTTTTTAGGAAACTTACACAATTTTAGGGAATTTTCTAAAATGCACGAAAATCAAGAGAATTTTTATTAAACCAGTAGACTATGAAAAACTGACAAAATTCAGTAGAGCTGGCAGCTATGTAATAATAAAATATGAATAAAAAAGCTATGCCCATGATAACGAAGAACTCAAGTTATGTTAATATAACTTTCATTTAAATAAATTTTAAAAGTTGTGGTCATCTGGTAACTAAAGAGGCAACTTAAAGGCTACCTGAAAAATAATATAAGCAAAAACAATTAAACTGTTTAAAAAAAACTCAATAAGCATAAAGAAACACTTTCTCTCTTTCTTTCTATTTTTTTTTTTAATGGAGTAGTTCTGTTTTACACATTTCTTTCTATTTGCATATTGCATTTTGTAACATTTTACTGACTTTCAATACAACACTATATATTTACATGAAACCTAAACAGTGACAGGCAAAAAAGGGGGCAAGACTGCAAGCATACAGTCAATTCCCATTCAATCGGCTATCAAGGGAGCGAAAACTTTAATTTACAGCCTTTTACTTTCACTACCTTGCATAAAATAAATATTTTTAACTTGTTAATCTTTTACTTTAAAAAAAAATATTTTAAGACTTTCAGACAAATTTAATGATCATGTTTTGGGCATTAAAATACAAAGTAAAAGATCCCCTAAGAAATTCAAATAGTGCTTATATTTAAGATGAAAAATTAGAAAAACTATGTTTGAAAAAATCAAGAATTCTTGCTATAAAATGATTTCTGTTAACATTTTAGAAGAAAAATTGAAAATACTTTGAATCAAATAATGAAGTTTTTACCATAAAATAATTTCTGTTTACATTTATACAAAACTGAATTCAAATCTAAACCATTTTTTTAAGAAACATATATTTTTTTCAATCGTAATTTAATTAAATATGTTAAGATTGCATAACTGCCACTATGGAAAGGAAAAATCCAGTAGATTTTACGAAATATAAACTTCATGATAATTGTTGCATAATGTACTGAATATTTTATACATAGGGAATTTTTATAGTCATCAAATTAGAAAAACTGCAATATTTTCCAGTTAGATTCATATGAAGTATACTTGAAATATTATGTATTATGTTTACTGATAATTTCAAATATCAATAGGCATTTAATTCATCAAAATAGTCAAAAAAAAAATTTTTTTTAATTAATTTAAAAATAGAGTTCTGAATTAAAATAAATTTAAAATTTTAGAACAAAAAGTTTAGAACTAATTTCTATAAAAGAGGTTCGCTTCATAATCT